ATCTTACTAAGTACAATTTTCTTACTCCATTGGCAGAAATTTTGACTTAATTTGAGTCCAATTTTCAGACTAACAAGACAAATAATCTTACACATTCTGAAAACAAGATTATTATTCTTACACAATCAGTTCTTGTTTAGTAAATCAGTCTCAAAACAAGATCAAAAAAGTATTTTTGGCTGATATAAGGTTTTAAAACTTGGTAAGACGGACAGTTTGTGTTCAGTGCACACGTCATGAACCCAAACCAGTGCTGTGAGGGAAGTTTATGTTAAAATAAGTAAACATGTTTTTATCTCAACAAAAATGTGCTCAGTCCACAGTGTGAAACTGAAAAAAAAAACTATCTGAAGTTTCTGCACCAAAATAAAATTTTTCTGAGCCTGAAAACCTGTTCTCTCATGTTTGATTATTTATGGTTTAACACTAAATGAAACTGAACCACATTTGTAGCTCAGTTGGTGAAGCCTCTCAACAAGAAGGTTGCCAGATCGAATCCTGGCTGTGGACCTTTCTGGGTATTTGCATATTTGTGACCCATCATATCGAAATGAATTTAGTCAAATTTGGTCAAAATGACCTAATTACATTTTCAGATTTATGCTTTAAAAGCTACATTTTGATACCTGGATCATTCTGATATCAGAAGCTCATCCAGAGATATGATTTCATTTGTCTTGTTGGTTATGATAATACATTACTGTTTGATCTGAATCCTAATTTTTGGTGAATTTATTGAGTATTTTTATGCCAATATAAAGAGGAAACCTCAAATAGTATTTGTATATTAAGATTTCCCAGTTAGAAAGAAACAAAAACATTTCTAGCTCACAGGGAAAAATTCTACATTTTTAGACATTTTTTCCTCAAAATCATTTTTGTTGTTGTTGCTACTGTTCAAAAATGCTTCAAAGCTTATTTTAGGATTATATTTCAAACAGTTCATTCCAGTGATACATTGTTAAGGCATTAATTCATTGTATTTTGACAATATGCAATTTTTACACGTTTAAATCAAAACCTTATGTCTGCCTGTTCCTCCACATCCCACTTTTGGACTTAATCCTGGTTTTGATGTGATGGGTCCCCAGGTCACATTTTGTGTATGTGTTGGTTTTCTCCAGGTGCTCTGGTTTCCCACTGATCAAAACCATGACTGTTAGGTTCAATGTGCTAAATTGTCCCTATGGGTGTGAGTGTGACAGTGGTCTTGTAGGTCTTCCATTCTCTAATTGTTGCTCCCACAGTGGATTTCTTCACACCAAGCTGCTTGCCTGCTGCAGATTCAGTCTTCCCAGCCTGGTGCAGGTCTACAATTTGTTTCTGGTGTCCTTACACAGCTCTTTGGTCTTCACCATCGTGCAGTTTGGAGTGTGACTGAGGTTGTGAACAGGTTTTATATTGATGAGTTCTAACAGATGCCATTTCTACAGATAGGCGTGGAGGACAGAGTGATTTTCTAGTTGTTTTCTCATTTTGTCTGCCATAGTTGAGGTCTAACTATGATGTCAGTTACAGGCCATCTTTTTAAGTGGGAGAATTTGAGCAATTGTTGTCTGACTAAACGCATTTTCCCCTCTGTAGATGTGACTATTCATATCGAAACGAGGATGAAGTCTATATTGGGATGTGGACAAATAGGCAGATATAGTGTTTTGATCTAAACATTTGCAAACATTGCATTTTGTCGAAGCATAATGAATAAATGTCTTATCAATGTATCAATGTAAACTGTCTGAAATAAAACTCTAAAAACATTTTTAAGCACTTGTTTTGGTAGAAACAACACAAAAAATGATTTTGAGGAAGAAGACCTTAAAATTTAGAGATTTTCCTTGTAAGTTAGCAAAGTTTTTTTTTATTTTTTTGCAGCTGGGAAATCTTAATATTCAAAGACAATTTGAGGTTTAGGAAACCCAGACCCAAACCAGTGGTTATTCTGTATGTTGCGGGTGTTTCGGAGAAACTGAGATGTTTATTTTCTAAACATGATGTCCCAGTAGCTTTCAAACCCCAAAACACATTACGGCAAAGGCGGGTTCACCGCAAAGATCCGGTGCCCCGTGTAGAGGTAACCCTGGTGAAAAAAACTTTTCTATTGTTTAT